ACTGATCTATTCTCCATCTCTATGGTTTTGCCTTTTTTAGAATGTCATAAAAATACAGTTATATATTATGGAACCTTTTAAGCCTACCTTCTTTCAATCAGCATAATGCCTTTGAGATTCATTTAAGTTATGTCAATAATTTGTTAAATTTTTTTTACATATGAAGATGTCAATTATATGGAGTTTTCTACTAAAAACAATCTTGATAAATATCCCATAGTAGATACTATGTAATAAATAACAAATGAGGCTATTTAGTGTGGTACAGCATTTACCAAATAACTGTGTTTCATTAATTACTAATGGCATTCACGGAACAAAAGTAATCTAATAAATGTGAGAAATATAAGAAATTTGAGAAATTCTGAGTTCTATAAAATTAAATTGCATTCTTTATGATTTCTTAGAACTTTTAACATATGGCATGAATTTCAAAATTTCTAAAGGGAGATGTGATTTTGCAAGAACTTATCCAATTATTAAATTTAATTTTTTTGCTGATCATCCATTAAGTTGTATTGCACAGAATACAACTTAGAAAACATTAAACTAGAAATGAAAAATGTAAGCATTGAAGTTTGGGTTTAAATTTTTGTCCTGGCCCTCACTAGCTGCTTAGCCCTGAGCTAAGTTTAACCTGCATTAATCCCAGATTCTCATTTACAAAATTTCCTAATCAGGATTATTGTGAGAATTACATAACATTTACTTTATGGAGAGCACAATATATGCCACATGGTAAGAATCCAGTAAATTGTAGCTGATTATTACCAGAGGTGTATATACTAGTGTTTAGAAACATAGGCTTTGGAGTTTGATAGAGTTCAGTGTTCTTTCGCTGCTTAGTTGTTATTTAACCTCACTAATAAAATAATCCTGAGTGACCTCTCACAAAAACAAAAATCCGAATATCACATGTTCTCACTCATGGACTTTGAACATCCAATGCAATACTATAAGAAAATGACCAACAGTAGTGGGAAACTATGGGGGGGAGGGGAATGGGATTAATAGTAGCAAATATCTGTCGGGGGATGGGAAAACACTTCTTATCTACAGGGTGCCTGAATTAAACGTCATTGTACACCTAACCCTTAACTGTACCCCACAAAACCATAATAAAAAATACTGATTAATGAAAAAAAAATGATGATAATGCTTAAAGGGATTTAATGTGATAATTAAATGAGTAATACAATTAACCATGAGTAGTTCCCTGAGCATTTTCCTGAGGAAAAAACTGCTTGTCGGTCATTCAGTAGTTTACAGAGAAGTGCATATATATCAACAACTAATTTCAGACTCAGTGTTTCCTGAGTCATAATTACAGCAAAGGAGGTTTTGCTCCCTTCCAATACTTGAGAAAAATATTTTCCAGTGTGTATACAAAAAGGATGTCTAAATTACTTCTGATCCCTATATTTCGATTAGTACTAGGGAATGAGAGTAAAGTTACCTACTTTTACACAGAATAAAATAGATATTTATGGCCTTTATTAATATTTATAATAGATAGTTAACCTTAATGTTTATGAAAAGGCATTACATTCTCCAAACCATCCCCTTTTTTTGTAAAACAAAGCAACAAAGATACAAAAACCTGTACTCTTTCATAAATAGCTGCATTAGAAATGCTTTTTAAATCTGGAGAAATCTTATTAATAATATAAATATATATTTATAGAAATAACAAGCATGTTTTTTTAAATAGCACCACTGGTAGATTGGTTATTTACTATGTCAAATCACGGGTGCAAGGCAGTGATCAACTGAGGGAAAATTTGTTTTAGAATTTTTGCTTACAACTCAAATATTTATGTCAAAATATTAAAACAGAATTATAAAGAAAAATTAGTATAGGAATTTTGTATGTAGGTTTTGATAGAAACGTTTTAAAAGCCTTATCTTTGGTGATATAGCCAACATAAGATTAGCACATGTTCCATTGATAATGTTTGGTACTTTGCACAGTAAAAAATGGAAGAGGAAGGGAAATCTTATAGAGTGATTTCTAGAGATGAGTAGATTCTTTAGGAAATGAATTGGCTAGGGAAGCATTATATTCTCAAAGAATTTGATACAATAAAAGGCTATTAAAAACTTTTTGGAGAAGAATATTTTCTTTTTTTATTAATCAATATTTTTTATTATGGTTTTGTGGGGTACAGTTAAGGGTTAGGTGTACAATTATGTTTCATTCAGGCACCCTGTTGATAAGAGGTGTTTCCCCATCCCCAGACAGATATTTGCTACTGTTAATCCCA